TCAGCACCCTTTGCACCTTAACCATCTAGGAAAGGTCAATATGCACCGGACAAGCATTGGGAATCTGGCATTTCTCCTCAACAGCAGCTTAGTGGCACAACAGCCATAAAGCCATGCTGTTCATGGCCCACAGCCGACATGGCTGACATGCCCTTGTACATACAACTGCCTCCTCTCAGCCTCATCACTATTTGACCACTGCGCCAGACATTTTACTCGTCCCTAACTGCATCCCATATGATGACCTTCTAAGTCAGTGTTACTCTATCCCCAATATCCACTGCAGACTCAGCATCTTGTTGTTGTCCAGTACAGAACCATTACATGCAGGCAAGTATTTGGAAAATTTCAAACACAAACATGAGCTTATATTGACAGAAATGAAAAGATAACAAAAATGAAATCAACAGAAGCTGAACCTATGCCCCCACATTGCCAAACAAATTTCTGCATGATGATCAAAAAATGTTAGTCAATAATTGTTTGTTGTGCATAACTCTCATTTATTGTAACCAGGCCTCAAAGACGTTCTGTCTGGTGTCATGGACCAGACCAAATGCCTTCCAAATATATTAAGAAGGTAGTGATCAATGTGCTCACTTTCTTATTTTAAAGGGAAATGTCATGTGCTGTGCTCCAGATGCAATTCGATTGATCAAATCACTCGACGTTAAGCAAAATATAATTAATTAAAAACAGCAGTTAAAATGCAACAAAAGAAAGAAGAGCTTGGAATAACTTAACTCTATTGGAAAACTTAACAGAATAATAGATACAGTAACTGCTACTAATTAACTGTTCCAATATAGCAACATCCCATAAACACACCCTTGGCAAAAAGGCAAATTCAGAAAACAGATGGTCTCACACACAGTTCTCTAATCCAGGAAGAAAGAACATCAAAAGACAATTCTGAGCGAAAAAAAGAGAGTGTACAGCCAGGAGAGACTCACTGCCTTCCAACCCTGCTGAGACCCCAGCAACAACTGCTAAAAGCTAACTAAAAACCCGAGATCTGTGAGAGCTTGACTGCAAACACTTAAGTTGCTTCTACTGTTCCAATTTCTAAAAAAAACTTGTTTATCTTCTCATAGACTGCTTGGCACCTGTCCCCCAATCTCTCCCTTAAAGAAATCAGGACAAAACACACCTCTTAAAGCCACAGCATCGTCACACTGGTTCATAACATCCATCAGAGTTGAGCTCTGTTATGGACAATGTCAACTTCCTCCACCCTAATGTCCTCATTCTCCTCCTTGGAAGACTATTTCCATCTTCTCCTCCAGTCCCTCTAGACATTGCTCCATTGCCAGCTCTAATGTGCAGAGTACAGCCCACCAAGATTTTTGTAGCACACTCCGTCCAGAGAACATTAGAGGTCACCCTCCTGCTGCATTTCAGAGTGTACAACTGAGAGATTGCACAAAGGTGTCTTGTTGCTCCCTGGAAGGAACCAATCATATACAGGTTTAGCGACACAACAACCTTCACAACCACTGGAAGAGGATTGTCTCTAACTCCTGCAGCCCTAAGGTCCCGCTCCAACATCTGGCACAGTTCCATCACAGTGTGCTGGGACTTAAAGAGCCAGCATCAACATTGCACCTTGCTTAAGCCCAGGAAATAGAGTCGGGGCTGAAAAACTCTGGGCCTTCTGTGAGTCTCAGCATCCTGAGGGGATCTGCAGCTGCAACCTCTCGGTGAGCTGGGTGCTTGTCTGCTGTTTGTGTCTATACAAGCAAATCCTTACACCATTTGAAACGCTTAATAGGCTCCAACCTTCAAATGACCAGGATATACAACAATTATTTATTCAACATCAGAAACTGCTGGAAAAACTCAGCAGATCTGAAGGTATCTGCGGAGAGAAAGCAAAGTTCACAATTTGGATCCAGTGACCTTCAGAATTTTTCCAGCAATTTCTGATTTTGTTTCTGATTTCCAGCATCCACAATTCTTTGTTTTTTTTTATTATTTATTCAACCCACCCTCATAATATAATCCTTTGAGGTCTGCCCCCTTCCTGTGAGTTACTTCTGTATCCTGCCTGAAGCACAGTGCGCAAAATTAAGACCCCAACATAATTCATTAATTTACAATTATTCCCAGGTTGCCTTTTCTTCATGTATAATGTGACAAATGTCAATCACAAACCAACATTTTAAACCTTAATGTAATCCTATGAGGTCTGATTTGAAGCAGTTAAGCTTCACTTCAGAGACAGTTTTATTAATTCCCTGATGTCCATGTTGTAGACTTCATCTAATTTCTTCGTAGTTTTAAATAGTGCATGATGTTAAATAATCAAGTTTCTCTTTAACCCCTTCTCATTCAGAAATGTCAAGAATTGAATGACTTTCAAACACTTGAGACAGAAGATTTGGTTGTTTTGGAAGTCATTAAAGTATCTTTCACCCAATCTGCAAACTTTGAGATGTAAAAATACAGCCAATGTTTTCCAAGTCTGCAAACTATACCCATTCATATTCTTGGTTTACATAATAAGTATGCTTGTCAGCAGTCTTGTAGTCATAAAGAGTAATTTTAGGATGTAAGGGTGCATTTCACTCTTCACAGTAGACCTACTTTTGCCTTAGGCACTACAGATAATGAACTGTTTGGGATCAGCAAGGAAACACTTGTGTTTCTACAAAATCTTGTATACTTCCTTTCCTAGTTAAGTTAATGCTATCTACAACAGTAACAAAGAATTACATTGCCTCTGCCCATCTTTCAAGTGCATATGAGCAAACCTGAATTTACGTGGCATCAACTGGTATTCGCTGTTCTACCTAAGACTTGAAAAAATGTCAGGAATACCATTGGTTCTGGCAAACGAGGCACTGTTCTTATTTCTTTATCTTAAAGGACTACAACAGTAAATAAATACATGTCCTTGCTTTGGAATGTGAAATCGAAGAGTGTCTCCCTAGCCAAACAATTCTACATTCAACATTATAAAATGTTTTAAATGTCAAAGGCAAAGCACCACTTACACACTGCTACCCATCATCAACACCAAAGCTTTGTAGCAGAATGACATTAACCTGATTACATGAACTGCCCCAGTGACTGATACGTCTCATTTATTAACACTGTTCTATTTAGTTTACTGCGTTCACTCGACCTGTAACAAATGCAAGTTTATTAAAAAAGTCAATTTAGCATTCTTAACTAAAGGACAAACAGCAAGGCTTCTACAAAAAATAATCAGCTACCTAATGTCTGGAACAAACTTGAGCTCTCTGTAATATGATCCTTACATGAACCATAATCTCCTGTTTATTTCCCCTAATGAGGCAGGAGTTAAAACAGTTGACCTGATCAGATTCAGATGGCAGCCCTAAAGGAGTGAGCCCCCTGCTGCATTTTGGGTCCGACACCCTTTGTTACCTCCAAGTGAGCTGAGACTAGGCTGTGAACCATGTAAATAGGAGGTTTCCAGGTTAATGAAAAGCCATAACTTCATCCCACTGCTGCTGCGGACTTCTCTTCACTCCAAGTTTAGAACATTCTTTCCACAATCTACTATTAATGCTTAACAAATGTGTTTGAGAAACAAAATGAACTTAAGTCATAATATATTTTTGATTAAATGGAGAACTTAAAATGTCATGTTTTCACGTAAAAATATATATTTACATTAAGATTCAATAGAGGAAAATGTCAATGACAAAATCAAATCACAATGGCTTGTAATCTCAAAGTTTAAGCTTCTGACAATTGTGATTGAACTTAGTCTTGCTGCCCCTACAATAGAAATATTGTAGAGAATGAATTGAGGAATTCAAGATTTAATTGAATTTTCAATTTTAATTTCAAATGCAAATTAACATCCAAACATATTCATGGTAGTAGACCTTCTATTTTTAATTTACATAAATGCTTCAAATTTTCTTAATACATCAATGCCAGAATAGTATCCTTGTGAATCTAATGTAAAATAATCTACATGCTAAACTCAAAGCAGTATGCAACACAATGGAAAGTGAGAATTTCAAATTTTCCTCTTTCAACTGAAGTTGATTTAGCTTGGAAACTAAACTCCTTTTCATGTATGCTGGCAAATTGCATCAATTTAGGAACAGCAGCCTTAGTATTCCCATATTATGTTACAGTGTCTTTCATTCAACTGCTGTTTTCTGCTGTACTCAATTACAAGTCAACAATGAAAAATATGATGTGATGTGAATCTGTGGTCAGGTCAATCATATGCTGCACTACCCTGTAAACTGTAACCAGAATCTGTTTGAACAAGTTGAAAATTTGGAATGGAATGAGTTAACGTGCAAGAAATGGTTTAACAGTTTCTCAGCTTAATGATCAAACAGAATTGAATGATCTAACGTATATGATGATACGCAGCAAAGTTCACATTTGTTTTAACTTCTGATCAAAATATGGGACAGAATTGCCTTACGCTTACCCTAATCCAGTAATCTCTCATTGCCAACCCCTAATGCACTCCACAACAAAATTTTGGTACCAATAGAAAAGAGAATTTTGTTCTGATTAAAGCATGCAGAGCACAGTAGATCTGAATCACATATTGTTTTTGTATCAGTTTGCAAGTAAACTATGAATTGTCTATGGGAATAGACTCATTTGTTTGGCTTGCTAAACCCCTAAAGTAAAACCAGTTTGAAAAGTAACTTTTTTTTAAAGAAACGGGTAAACAATATGTCAACAGAGATTCTAGATGGTGAACACAGCATAAATTGTTAATTCAAATCCAAACTCAAAAATAATCACAAGGATGTAATTCTATTAGCTGCTTTACCCTTGATAGGACTTCTTTGGCATTTGTCTCCTTTAAAAAGGAACAGCTTATGTTTTTTGACAGAATGAAAAATGATCAGTTTGCCAAGTTGCCTCTATTGCAGAATGACATTAAGGTACCAATTACACAGGCAAGCTCTGACATTTTAAATCACCAGCTTGACAGCCCACATTCTGGATGACTTCCAATATCAATAAAACTTGCTCAAGCAAAGTCTTACCTGGTTTTCACCACATCGAGGGGATGCATCAGACAAATTTCCACAAGACCTAAGCAGGTGACAGAAGAGAAACAGCCAGTAAATATTGGCACAAATGATGGTTACGCTTCACTGCAGGAGTGTGAAAATTATTATTGTATGAAAGATCAAATATGATAACCGAGGCAAAATGGAGCAACTAAATAGGACAAAAAAAGTGTGTGGAGAAAAACAACTCAGTAATTCATAATAATTCAGCATAAACATCTAAACCATGAGTATAAAGCATAGACTAATTATTTTCACCACATTTGGGGATACAGTAATACCTTGCCCATTTTGAATTAATTTGGCCTGGACCAAAGCATCTGCGATGTACAAGTTTATTTTGATTAGAAAAAAATTATATTAGTAACTCACTTTAAACATTTCTTATCACAACTAAAGTATGCATTCAGTTCTGGACACAGTCTTGAAAATTGATGCGAGGGCCATGTGAGCAGAAAAGGTTTATGAGAATGGTTCCGGGTGTTGGATTTTAGGAAAAGGTTAGATTGTGGAAGCTAACCAGAGGCATAGGAATAGGCCATTTAGTTTGTTGAGGTTGTTTCTCCAGTCAGTAAGATCATGGTTGTTCCGATTGTGACTGTAACTCCACTTTCCTGCCTATAACTCAATTTGATGTAGATCAAAACTCTGTCTAGCCAGTTTTGATTATATTTACTGATTCAAACTCCATTACCCTTGAAGCAAGAGAATTCCAAAGATTAAAGATGATCTGAGAGGAGAAATTTCTCATTATTCTCATTGTAAATTGGAGATACTTTATTTTTAAACCGTGATGCCTACTTCCAGATTTCCTTATGAAGAGAAGCATTCTCTCAGCACTCAACTTGTCAAGCTGCTTCAGAATCTTATAAGTAATAACATTACCTCCCAATCTTCTAAACTCCAATAATTTTAGCTCTAACCTGCTCAACCTTTCTCATAACCCAACACCTTCATCCCAAGATTCAGAGTAGTGAACCTTCTCAGAACTGCCTCCAATACGAGCATTTCCCACAGATAATTTGCACCCATGTTCCTACTGCCCCATTTACTTCAGAAGCTATACCTTTTCTTATAAGTCTGTTGTGAGACATTGTGTAGAATGGCCTATTCAAAATCCAGGTAGATCATGTCTGCGGCGTTATCCTCATCAACTCTCTGTTTTCTTGATCAAAAATCTCCAGAAAGTCAGTCCAACATGATTTTCTCTTAAGAAGTTCATGAAAGCTCTTCCCAATTAATTTTTTTTTGATACAACTATTAATTCTATTTTGAATAATTGTTTCCAACAATTTCCCCCCAATGAAATTAAACTGACTGGTCTGTAACTTCTGGGTTTATCTTTACAACCTTTCTTGAACAAGGGTGTAAAGTTGCAATTCTCTTCAGCTCCACTCCAAGTCTAGGTAAAGATTATTCCCAGTGCCTCTGCAATTACCACTCTTGCTTCCTTCAGTGTCCTTGAATGCATCTTATCTGATCTGGGTGCATTATCAATGTTAAGTACCAAAGCCTATCCAATATCATCTTTTAAACCATTCTAGTGACTGAGTTTCCTCCTCTGTCACCATGGACTGTGCAGCATTTCCACCCTTAGTAAAGACAGATGTGAATTATTCATTCAACATCTCAGCCAAGTCCACTGTCTACTGCTTCTATACCATCTTATCTTATAACCTAGTTGCCCAAAGCACATCAACTAAAGCTGTCTTTCATACCCCTGTACAAGGCTAAGGTCTGTTCAAGGCAAAGGAAACAAAGAAAATGGCACTAGATGGTACTAGGACTAAGGGGCACAGATTTGATGGTTTAGGCAATTGATGGAAGGAGATGTGAGGAAGAACATTTTATGCAGTGAATGCAAAAAACTGGAACTTGTTACCTATGAGGGTGGTAGGAAATGTAGATGAGGAATAATTTCAAAAGGAAATTGGATGGGCACTTAAGAGAAACAACTTTACAGGGCGAGCGAATTAGAACACAGAAATGGGACTGATTGGATTACTCTTCAGATTTTGAAGGCTGAATAGTCTCCTTTGGTGCTTTAATTACTCTGACAGATGAATCTACTCTTTTAAGTATTCAAAGGACCATTTTGAGGTTATAAACACAATATTAATTGATAAACTGTGCAGCATTACCAATAGGATCAGCACAATACTAAAGACAGTGATGGACAAATAGAATCCAGTGCTGATTTATAAAACAAATTTCAGAAAACATATTTTTACATTATATATACAGACCCAAAAGTAATCTTCAGTTTGTTCAGCATGTTGTCAGTAAGACATTTGCAAAACAATAAGTTGTCTTTATACAGCATCTTTAATGTAGAAAATTCATCATGAAACACTTCACATCGGTGTTGAACAATGGAAATGAAAATGAGAGGAGTGATCAGAAGCCTGGTCAAAGAAACAACATTTTTTCATGAAGGACAAAGTGTGATTGCAAAGTAGATGTGTTTAGGGAGAAAGAGCTGGGGAAAATAAAAGAGGTTGTGAAAGACAGTGATACTAAAGGTGGACCAAAAAGCGGAGGAAGGCACAGGAGATCAGACTTAAGGTACAAGAGAGTTTGTAACATTATAAACTTTATGGCGATTAGAAGTGAAGAAACCGAGATTGATTCAAATATGACCAAGAATTTTAAGTTTGAAATAGTAGGGATAAAATTGGTTTGCTTTTAAAGACATAGAAGTTAATTATTGACAGCTAGTATGGATTTGTTAAAGACAAATTTACATTAACAGATTGCAAATTTATTGGAGGGATGGGGATGTATGTTGGAGATATGCCTGAAGCAATAACATCATATCATTTCTGTTTTCCTCTGTTTCTCCGCTGAAGGTTATTTTTATTTCATGGCTATGACTCATATTTCTGGTCAAATTTACTCTAATTGTTGGATACACTTTTGAACATAGCTATGATATTTTGACCAACCCAAACTACTTTTTTCTCTCCTGAAATGGCTCCATTCCCCGATCATTGTGGCTTTAACACTGTGTAATTGAAATCAGTTTAATTTGTTTCACTGACCTGATGAGTGCTTAAAATATCATTTTGAAAAAAAATACTGACTTTTTAAAAATGTTTAAGCGGCATTCAAGACCATCCACCTCATCTAAAACCAAGCCTTTTTGCGTTGTCTTGTTGTGCAATGCAAAACAAATAACCACAATATGAGACACCCTGGCTAGCTTGTACTGAAGGCCACCATCTCATTGGCAAAAGCATCAGAAGTACATCTTGAAGATGCCAACAGTTTGTTCAATGCAGGTTCATATCATTAGATGACTTTGGTTTTAGCGTTTCTCAGTTTCTGTGAGTACATACCAGACAGATGTCAGGAGATATCTCCTCAGAGGATAACTTTTACTCCCCAGCAGCCACTCACTTAACTATGAGATGCCACCCACTCTTCAATGACTACATTAAACTTCCGTACCTCAGTGACACTTAGAGCTTCATACAGGGGGCTGTGATGGGAAGCAATGAGGCATCAGGTTATTATGGACCAAAGAACAAATATCCAAAACCAACAACAAAGTCTCCTAAACTCTGTCATTTGAAGGTAAATGACTCTTTGCTGATACATCTGATGTTTTGGGTAGCACCCTTGTCCCCTTGTAGCCCCTTGCTCCACTCCTCTGGCCTCCTCTTGACCAACAGGAAGCATATGTCAAAGTTCCTACTCACTATCCCATCTCAATTTATTTACCTTTGACTGTTTAGTTCACCAACACTTCCTCTAGCCATCTCTGATGCCCAAGTGATTCCAACAGCCTAACAGATCTCTCAAGAGTCTAACCACTCACTGTTCACAAAGGCAAGCTTCTCAGTACCAGCAATGATAGCTCAGTGCCACTGAGCAGCTGGGTTTATCTGCCATCTCTTACAACAATTGACCATTAGCACTCATGGCTCCCTGCTGCTTACAGAACAGCTGCTCCCTAATGTGTCCCAGACCTTCAACTTTTCCCCCAAACGATGACAATTTAAAACTGCTGCTCTAAATACTGTTAATAAGCTCAACAAAAGACGCAATAATCTGTTAATTTGAGGCATGCGGACTGTGGGCTCCAGCCCTCCCTTTGAAAATCTCAGCACGTTCTGGGGGCATTGGGATCCAGAGAGTTTCAAAGTATGCTCACACCCAATCTCAAACTCATGAGCTTTTGAAAAATCCAGCCAATGATGTTACAGGACCTCCAGCCTATTTGTGAAGAATACGCCATGACTTGAATACTATGGTATTTTAGAATACTTTTTAGCGTTTTCATCTCTATACTACACAATATCACTCATTGTTCACTGGCTCTTCTTTATCTGATTACTCATTTAGGAAATAAAGTTTGACAAAATCAAACCTAATGAAAGTAAGACAGTCCCTTGGGGCACTCTGTATTAAATCAAATTTAGAGAACTTTAAATGTCTTTAATCAACCTGTTCAGACATATCATGACACAACTCTGCTTTAAGTGGGACTTGAACAAGGACCCTCATGCTCAGAGGCAAGGACATTATCAGTGCACCATAAGGCCCCCCAACATACATCTCAGCACTTGTTTGAGATAGCAAAACTGAAAATTTAACTAAATTAAAAAGAACTCAAACAGCTGATTAAACTACTGGAGCTAAAAAGAAAATGGAGGAGGGATCAACTTAATATGTCATTGGTTGGATAGGCACCTCATCACAACACCACCATCCCCCACTTCCACCCCCAACCAGTGCCCAACAGCCTCTATAAGTTTCTAGTATATTGTCAAACACCAGATGCTCCCTCTCCAAGGACATGCAGGCACATATGTAGCCATGAAAGAGATGCAGGCAGTTAGGAGTTACGACCCCTTCTTCCTGGATCTGTTATGGCTACCCTAGTCAGGCACAGGAGCAGACTTTATCAAGAGGTCTTCCGGGTTGTCTGCACCCCTACGCACTGGGTGCACAAAGATTAGGAATGTGGGGGCTGAAGTGCAAATAAAAATTTAACTATTCCAATCTCCTGTAACCAATGCACATTAGGTTTACAGCATCACACAATAATGCAGTTTTAAGAATATAAGACCAGGAGAAATAGGAAGGAGCATGAGTAGGCCATTTAGCTCCCTCAGTCTGCTTCACCATTCAATAGGATCATGGCTGACATCCAACATTTCAACATTTCCAGCCCTTTCCCCATAAGCCTTGATATCTTTACTGATCAAGAATTTATCTATCTCAGCTTTAAATATACACAAGGATTCTGCCCACAGCTTTCTGTAGAAAGGAGGTTCCAAAGACTCACAACCTTAGGAGAATTTCCTCCTCATCTCAGTCTTAAAATGGTGCCTCTTTATTCTAAGATTATGCCCGGGAGTTGGCTTGGGAGTCTGTGAACCACTTAAGTGTATGGTTGCAACGGATTGCCATATAAAACATTATTCACCACCAGGTCCTGATTACAAGTGGGAGGACTCCTGCACAGAAAGACCTTACTCAGGGTAGGAAGCTTGTTCAACTTAACAGGGAGCTGTACTCATACAACAGAAGGTGCAACTCTCTCTTTGGAAGGCTTAGTTAGAAAATAAAACACAGTGAATAAAGCAACAGGACAGTGAGAGGATTTTCGCGTTATAGCATGTGTCACTAGGGGTGTAAACAACAGAGAGTATTACACCCAGACACGAGATGAGGTTCCCAAATTTGTTCTAGGTTTACATTGACTGCCCAAATTTTTAAGCTCCCAGATGAACTGGGATAATAAACTGGCTTGCATTCTTTATTCGATGACTGCCTCGGTCGGTTGCAACATGGGATCATTTTAAAATAATCCATTCATTTGCGAATTTGTTTCTCCCAAAACTCAAATGAACTTCTTGGTTTAAAAAGCAGCCAATTTAACCAGGCTTTCTTCAATTAACAAAGACTGAGTTTATTAATTACTAAATGCAAAAAAAATTAGCAATGCAACACACCTAACATAGATTAAAAATAATAGGTGAGGCTAAGAGGATAAAAGTAAAAAAAATACAAAATCAGCTCAGTCTCTGAATTCTCTAATGGTGAATTATTGAACGTTGCAGACACTGCAACGCAGGTTAGATGGAGGTCGTTAAAGAACCGATTTCATGATCCCAAGTTTTGTAGAGAGAGTCCAATCATCACCCCTTGATATTCATTGGCATTATCATCACTGAAGTCACTATTAACAATATCCTAGGGGTTGCCATTCACCAGAAACTGAACTAAATCAGCTTTATAACTGCTGTGGCTACAACAACATTTAGAGGCTGAAAATCCTGCTTGATTAACCCACCTCCAGTCTCCTCAATACTTGTCCATCATCTACAAGGCACAGGTCAGGAATATGATCAAATACTCTCCACTTGCAACAATGAGTGTAGCTTTAACAACAGTCATGAACCTTAACATTATCTAAGCCAAAATAGACCACTTGATTTTCAGTGTGAATATCTTCAACATTTACTCTCTTTACCAGCAACACAGACTGGCAGCAGAGTGCACCATGAGGAAGGCTAAGGTTCCAAGGGTCCTTAGAAAGCACCTTCCAATTCCATGGTCTCTAATATCGAGAAGGACAAGGAGCACAGATATATGGGAACAGCACACCTGCAAGTTCCTCTTCAAAACACACACCATTCTGAAGTATATCAGCATTCCTTCACTGTTGCAGGGTCAAAATCTTGGTACTTCCTTCCTATCAAAACTGTGGCAAACCTAAATGACATAGACTGCGGAAGTTAAAGAAGGAAAGGGAGGCAGTGGCCTAGTGGTATTATCGCTGGACTGTTAATCCAGAGACCCAGATAATGCTCTGGGGACCTGGGTTCAAATCCCACCACGGCAGATAGTGGCATTTGAATTCAATAAATATCTAGAATTAAGAATCTAATGATGACTGTGCATCCATTGTCGATTGTCAGAAAAACCCATCTCGTTCACTAATGTACCTTAGGAAGGAAACTGCCATCCTTAGCTGGTCTAGCCTACATATGACTCCAGACTCAAAGCAATGTGGTTGACTCTTAACTGCCCTCTGGGCAATAAATGCTACCTAGCCAGCAACACCCTTGTCTTGTGAATGAATAAAGGAAAAAAAAATTCACTACCACCTTCTCAAGGACAATTAAGATGAGCAATAAATGCCAGTCTGGCCAGCAATTCCCACATCCTATGTATGAACTTTTAAGAAAAAAAACCACAAAAATTATTAGTTCTATTATCGTTCCCTTCATTCCATAATTTATTAACTGCACTTTGGCACCACATAAATTTAATAAGGTTTAACTTGTCTCCTATCCTCCTGTAATCCATACTGGCTGCCATTTTCTCTCAGTTAGATTTTATTTCCCTTATTAAAAGCTAACAAATTCTTTGGTCTTCTTTTCTTACCTTCTATTTAAATAGCACTATCATACTGTGAGTATTCCATTTATTACAAGCTCCTGGTTCAAGAGATTCACTTTACTTCAATCCTAATTCAAGATAATAGGCTTAAAAGTAAACACTCATAAATCTAAAGTGACAGTCATCGGGAGTAGCATCACAAAATTATATAGCATGGAACCTGCGATCGGCTGCCAGACAGCAATTTGAGCACTAACAACTTAGCACAAGTTCTGTAAGTTACTGTATGTTATTCAAACAAAGCTATTAATTTTGGTTGGTGAGATGTGTAGTCCAGATGACTGTATGTACAATCCACCTCAGGCAGTCATGTGCAGTACTATTGGATATTTAACACAAAAGTGGTACTTATTTTTATTTGAAGTGATTAAAAGACAAATTAGTAATTTCAAATTAATAGGGACTGATGATTAAAATCATTAAATAAGTTTATATTAATCAGTTAGCATCCAGAAACCAAATTTGCAAATATAATGCCATTGGTAAAAATGTAGTAAGATTGTTTATTGCAAAGCAGTAAACTATAACTGTTGGATCCCAAATGCAAACTATCTGAATACTGTTATTTCTGTACAGCACATATTTATTGTCTTGCACTGATTTGTATTATTAAAATATCAACATTTCTGAACTCATAAAACAATTTCAGAAACATGAGTACAGGGAGGATAATAACAAAAAAAGCTGAATTTTATAGCAATATAGTACCAATGCCATAAAATACAATAAATTACATCAGTATTATCGTAGAGATAGATTAACTGATTATTAAAGGACACTATTCTTTCTTTATATTCATTCTAATATAGTACAGTTAATGACAATTACTGTCATTTACACTATATAATTAGTTATGGGGATGCACACAATTACTAAAGCCCAAACTACAATGATCAAGCTAGAGACAGCATTATTGCACACCTGAGGTCACTTTAGACATTGGTATTTACTGATAAAACATGAAACATAATACAAAAAGCAACACGGCCAATTTCAATGCAAAAATGTTTGGAGAACAAGAGAACTTGACTGGGAAAAATTAGCATCCCTAAACCAGTAAAGCCAGTTATATCCAATAAGATAAATGGGACTTACTCAAGATGCTGATTGAGCATTTCTAGTCCAAGTTCAGATCTGCATCAGGTACAGAGGAATCAGAACCTGAGTCTGATCAGTTTACGCTACTCACAGTTGAATAGGTGAGATTAGAGCTAGACATTAAGGAAAATAAACAAGTGAGAGTCATAAAAGCATGAAGGGTATGAGAGAGAAAGAGCTTTCCAAAAACTGGAGCTGAAAATTGGTGCACAGTGAGTGGGAGAGATCTAAAACAACTTCTAGCAGCTGGGGACAATATAACTCTGCCTAACAGCAGCTCAACCAAATTTCCATAGCCTATAAACATATGTTGAATATCTAAGATTTTAAATAAACTTGTTGGACTATAACCTGGTGCCATGTGACTTCTGACTTTGCCCACCCCACTCCAACACTGGCACCTCAACAGCACAAGAAGTATGGACCCTCAAGATACAAGCTCTGTTGCAGGAAATGACCAAGAGACCTCAGCTGTCTCTTGAAATATGGATCAGTTATGAACAGACTAAAGCTCCCATTCTGAGTGCTTGTAAGTTACTCCGGGGGGCCAATCATCAGCAATTTGGAATACCTATGCGACATCCATACAAACCTATATAGAATTTGAAAGACTAAAGCAAATATCTTTCAACTGATGGGTCTACACTTTAAAAATAGAATGCACTTGCAACAATATATAAAATAAACTGCTTGAGGAGCTTAAAAATTGCCCTCCCTGCAACCAAAGGATGCACATGGAGAATCAAAAGGTTACCACAATCAGGGCAGTAGCAATTATGACTGATAACTGATCTCTCTCTAAATCTAGGAATTCAAGCAACCCATCTTGAATCATGCCAAGAACTTCTGGAGAGATAAAAGGGACAGAAGTAGGTCCCAGGAGAAAGAAGAGTAGAGAAAACCAGGGAAATTAATCCATAACTTCTAAAACAAAGCTCTGAACCAGAAAAATGATGGGGAACGTTGCAGCGCATTTAGTCTCTGACGTTATGGAGTTGTGATTCTCTGTACATGCACAGGAGAGGAACCAGATACTCATCAGGATTTTATGCACAATAGCAAGTTGGCCTCTTGTATTTCCAAGAAACCAGAGAAGGTTAGCATTTTCTTACCCACCAGTGCTTTTTCATACCCCTTCTTTGTTCTCCTCATTACTTTCTTAAGATCCCCCTGCACTTTTTATATCCCACTAGGGCCTCTACTAACTTGTTCCCTTTGTACCTGTTAAAAAGCATCTCTTTTCCTTCCAGTCCTGAATATTCCTAGATGTCCAGGATTCTTTGGAATTGTTGGTCCTACATTTCACTCTAAACTCTTGTTAATTCCATTTTGAACATTCCCACTATTCTGATTTAGATTTACCCAGAAGTAGCTGCTCCCAGTTTTGTTTGACCAGACCCAGTCTTATGTTAATAAAAAAAAACGAAAGAACTGCGGATGCTGTAAATCAGAAACAAAAACAAAGTTGCTGGAAAAGCTCAGCAGGTCTGGCAGCATCCGTGAAGGAGAAAACAGAGTTAACATTTCGGGTCCAGTGACCCTTCCTCCAAATCTACCTTCTCCCAGTCCAAAACCATTTTTTTGCAGAATATCTTTCTCCTGATGGGATCTATCCCAGAATATTGAGGAGGCAAGAGAACAAATTGCTGGAGCATTGACAGGCATCTTTGTATCCTCTTTTGCCACAGGTGAGGTCCCAGAGGACTGGAGAATAGACAAAGTTGTGCCATTGTTTAAGAAGGGTAGCAGGGATAATCCTGGAAATGACAGACCTGTGAGCCTCATGTCGCTGGTTGGAAAATTATTGGAAAAGATTCTCAGGGACAGGATCTATACACATTTAGAAGCAAACGGACTTATTAGCAACAGACAGCGTTTGTTGGGGGGAGATCGTGCTTCACTAACTTGATCAGGTTTTTTGAGGAAGTGACAAAGATGATTGATGAAGGAAAAGCAGTTGATATTGTCTACATGGGCTTCAGTAAAGCTTTTGACAAAGTCCCTCATGGCAGACTGGTTCAAAAGGTGAAGTCACATGGTATCAGGGATGTGCTGGCAAGTTGGATACAGAACTGGCTTAGTAAAAGGAAACAGGGTATCGGTGGAAGGATGTTTTTCGGAATGGAGGCTGTGACTGGTGGTGTTCCACAGGGATTAATGCTGGGATCTCTGTTGTTCATGGTCTACATAAATGATTTGGAGGAAAACGTACCTGTCTAATTAGTAAGTTTGTGAAGATTGGTGGAGTTGCGGATAGTGAGGAGGATTGTCAGAGAATATGGCAGGATACAGAACAGTTGGAGGCATGGGCAGAAAAATGGCAGATGGAGTTTAATCTGGACAAATATGAGGTGATACATTTTGGAAGGTCAAGTACAGGTAGAAATTATACAGTGATTGGCAGAAGCCATAGGAGTATTGAAATGCAGGGGGATCTTGATGTGCAGATCCACAGATCACTGAAGGTGGCAGTGCAGGTAGATAAGGTAGTAAAAAAGGCTTATGATATGGTTGCCTTCATTGGAAGGGGCATTGAGTATAAGGATAAAACTTTAGTCCGGCCACACTTGGAATATTGTGTACCACACTACCAGAAATGTGGATGCATTGGAGAGGGTACAGAAAAGGTTTACCAGGATGTTGCCTGGTATGGGGGATTTTAGCTATGAAGAAAGGTTGGATAGACTGGGTTTGTTTCCACTGGAACGCAGGAGGTTGAGGGACGACCTGATAGAAAATTATAAGATTGTGAATGGCATGGATAGCATGGAAAGTATGAGGCTTTTTCCCAGGGTGGAGGGGTCAATTACTAGGAGACACAGGTTAAAGGTGCAAAGGGTGCGGGGGAAGTTTAAAAAAGATGTACAAGGCAAGTTTTTCACACAAAGGGTGGTGAGTGCCTGGAATCTGTTGCAAGAGGAGGTGGTGGAAGCAGACACAGTAGCAGCATTCAGAAGCACTTGGATGAATACATGAGTAGGAAGGGAATAGAGAGATACGGATCCTATAAGTGAAGACAATTTTAGTATGGAAGGGCAAAATGTGTTGGCGCAGGTTTAGAAGGCCGAAGGGCCTATTCCAAAGCTGTCTTGTTCTCTGTTCTTGTTCTTTGTTCTTTTACATTACAAACTTAAAACAAATGGTGTTGTAGTCACTATCACTAAAATCCGCCCCCATTGCTACCTCGAACACCTGTCCAGCTTGGCTCCCCAGAAATAGGTCCAATACTGCACTGTTGCTGGACCTTCTACATGTTGATATAAAAAGCTGTCCTGAATACATTTCAAGAAATCTGTCCCCTTTATACTATGGACTATCACAATTAATTTTGAGGAAGTTGAAATCTCCTAATATTATCTGTTTCACTGTGAATTGTTTTATTGTGAATTGTTTACACATTTGTTCCTCGATTGCCCACTGGCTATTCGGAGGTCAATAAAACACTGTGACTGTCCCCTTGATGAAAGCAAGACGAAAAGTATTCAAGATCTGTACTACAGAGCAACTATTCAAATAGATTCCATGGATCACTGGTTTACCCATTCGTCATTAGATTTGGCTGGAACACATGAATTAATGTCAGGCCGAAATGTCAGGATCGTCCTGGAATACATATATAATCTTCAGTCCTTCTCCACTGCAAGCTACCTTAAACTCCTCTTCTGTCTCTTTAATTTTCATTTCCAATCAAAAGTGCATGGTTGTCTTGGATTTCTTTGTCACCAAAACATCATCATCTGAAAATTCATCTTCAGTTGTAATGGTCCCTCTCAACTTTTAACTCCACCTCCTGTCACGGTCCTCTTGATCAGGCACCCTATTTCCCTAAGGAGGGCAAGCCCAGAAATAAGTGCTACCCCCATGGAAAAATCCCTGCTCTTGCACCCTTGTCTTCCTAACTGAGTGAGTGTGAAATACCAGACTGTTTTCTTTCCTGGGGCCACATTCAACAGTTCTGCTTCAAGCTGGATGTGGTCCTTGTGGTGGTGACTGCTCACAGTAAGATACCTGAAACTGAAGAACTGTCAGCATTCAGATTGGCTGGCAGTTCTCCTAAGCGGGATATTTGCTTTTAAAAGAGCTGGAAGCTCCGATGCTGATCATCATTGAATAGTGTGGCTCCCTGAAATTGATGCAGTGAGATTGCACCTCATTTTCTACCCACCATCATGGTGACTGCCAATAAATTCAGTTTCTAGTATTTCCTCAAATGAGCTGTAGCTGTTCAAGAAGACAGTTCACCACTAACTTCTGAGGGCCAATTTGGGATGGACAATAAATGCTGGTTCAGCTAGTGATGCCCACATTTCCAGGAATGATTAAAAATATCATTTTTCTTCATTCTTTCATGGGATATGGGTTTAGCTGCCAAGGCCAGACTTTGTCACCCATTCTTAATTTCATTTGAAATCAGTGGCTTGTTAGATAATTTCAGAGGACATCTAAGAATCAGTCGTGTTATCAGATCTGGTAACACACAGACCAAACCAGGTGAGGGTGGCATATTTCCTTCCCTAAAAGACAATAGCGAACCACTTGTAGTTTCATAATCACACTAAAGCTAGCTTTCAAATTCCAATTTGTCAGTTGGATTTAAATTCCAGCAGCTTCCATTGTGGGATTTAAAATCCTGATGCCATAGCATAAGTCTGGGCCTACGGAATACTAGGCTAGTGGCATTACCACTATGTTGCGACTGCCTCCATTGAAAAATAAAGTATGGAAGACTGCAGCCAGTGTCTCTGGTCTCTGCCACAAATTCCATTCTCCTATCACCAGCTGCATCCATCTCCCTGATAACTCTCTGGGGTTGAGCTGAATTGCTCACAACATTAGTTTCATATTTAACCCCAAGCTTTTCAACCACATATCTGCTATCTCGAAGACCAACTATTTCCACCTTTGTAGCATCAGCTGGCTTTGCCTCTCCCTCAGCTCAACTGTTGGTAAAACCCTATTCCATGACCTTGTCACCTCCAGGCATACTGATTTTGAGTGCACTTCTGCCAGGTCTTCCATATTCCCAGGCAGAAAACCAGT